TACAAATATTGTCAAAAAGAGTGCATGTTTGATCTGAGCTGAAAGTATTTCATAGTAACTCATTTACAGGAAAGCTGTTTTTAAAATACAATCATTAACCTTCACCGTTTAGCCATTAGAAATAATGCATAACGTCTGATCATTTGGACAGTGTTACTTTGGACTCAGAGCCATCTTGTTTCTCTCCGACTCTCAGCTCATCATTAGCTTAAAATTTAAAACACACAAAATAATAAAATATACTCCAGAAAAAGAAACCCAAATCTGATTTGTGATCAATTTAGACAGAAATCCTGCATCTTACGTAACTGTGTGCAGATGTAGAGCTGTCAACCGAAAATACAATGACTGAAAATCAACACAACAAGAAGTGAAAGCACAGAATGACAAGCAAACTTCTCAGAGCTCTGTATCATATGCAGAAAGTTTATATTACAGAGCTGATATTTAATGTTTGGGACAGTTGGCTTGAGTCACTTTTGAACAGCTGATGAAATAATACAAAGATTCAATCAAAATGTGCAGATCAGGACCACATTAAAAACACACACACACAAACAGCAGCTCTTATTTCAGTAAATATTGTCAAAAATGTCTTTATTTATGTAATGTTTTACCAATTGCATATAAATAAACAGTACATTCACAAAATACACAACAGTATAATAACATCAATAGTAATAATGACAGTAATAATAAATGTTTTTTTAATCTAAAACAAAATCTCTTTAGATCAGTGTTAAGCTTTAAGTTCAGTTTTTTGGAATAAAAACTGAGCATATTAGTTGTGCATATTTTATTGACTATGATGTAAGTATTGCACTGTAAGTCTATATTGTACTATATTTTTTATTTTTTTAATATTGGTAAACTTGTTACAACTTCCTGCCAAGAGACTTCATGTTATGTTGTACATTGTCCTTTTTCTTGTTCACAACATTGTTGTGTTTCTTTTCAAACACATTTAACCCCTCAAATCCCAGAGCAAAATCCTCACAAGTGTCCTCACTACAGAAGGTTGAACACTCAGACAGTGATTAAGTTAATGAGATAGTTAAGTGTCCAATTAAAGGAGGATTGAGAATTATTGATGAGCAACTGTTAAAAACAGAATCACTGAAGAAAAGAACAACACAAATTACAGCTAAAACCTAAGATGAAATCAACTGAGAATAAAACTCTAAATAAAATAATAATTAATAAAAATAAAAAAAATTACACAATAAAAATTTTAATTCTTAAGATCTCAGCAGAGATCATTAAACAACTCCACAAACATCAGGAGCTTCACTTATTACTGACCTTTGACTTTATTTCTGTCACATGAACAAAAGCTCTTAATGACATTTCTGTTGTTCATTTAAAGTCACCATGATGGAGGACAGAGTCTGCTTTAGTTGGGCTCTTCAACTATTTGCTCTGACGCTAGTTTTACTGATATAATTAATTGTGTTAATCACACTATTTGTACGGAAGAAAAAAAAACAACAATAGGTCTGATAAGATTACTTATGATATTGAAACCAACCTTATCTGCTTGTGCACTCATTGAATATCTTGTTAGTTGTAAGTGTGATATGAATATCATATGCAAATAAAACCACTTGACCTACAGTAGCCAGTGAGTTTAACAGATCTAAATGCACCATTCACAATGAGAATGTTTAATCCATGGCAGAACTTGAAAACACACAAACATCAACAATTAGTCTTTAAAACTCAACAATGGTGACAAACAAAAAATGAAATAAAAATCAGCCCAGTACAGTACAAAACACTCTACTGACAAACAACATAAAGGAAAAGAAAGAGATTGTAAGAACTTTACGCTGCATAATATATTCATGCTGCAATGCATGCTGGGATTTTTGTACTATGCTGGCACCCAGCATGCATTGCAGCATGAATGAATTAAGCAGCCTTTTTTTAACAACCATGGTTGAGGTTCATATCTTGATTCTTGATGTCTGTGTCATAATGTGCAGCTATAGATCTCACAGTTTTGTGCATGAAACTAATAAAATGTTAATTTCTTATTAATTCTTTGACAACTGTTTGTTGAACCTTCGTGGAAAGCTGTAACATATCCCAAACAATAACAAATAAAACTATTTTCTATGGCTTAATTTATAAAATACAAAAAATTACATCTGTAACAAATAAGAACACACAGTATATATTCTCATTGCCTTTCTTGCTATTGAGTCTCAAAAACATTATAACTGCCAAAGAAACATTAAGATAGAAAAGTTAAGGATTAAGAGCCCTACTAAAGCAGCCTCTGATCTCCATGACGGTGTCACGATTACCAGCGATCGTATAGATCATACAGACTTTTACTGTTAAAATCACAGACATTTTTTACAGTGTATATACACCTCGCAGTATATGTAAAGGGCAAGTGTATTGTTTGTACATTTATTTATCATAAAATCAAGATAACCTAAATAATAAGAGCAAAAGTTTTGACCTTATTCTTTTACATATCAGCATGTGCAACCACTGGAACCTTAGTGGCATTGAGACGTATTGCCATTCACTTGCATTGGTTTTTAGCCATCAAAAGCGATTATTGTATTCCTTCTTACACAATTGAGGAAGCATTAAGAAAATTCAACATAAAGAGGCAATAACTGATTGATTAACGACTATATCAGTCAGCTAGAGTTGGGAGGGACTTTTTAATTTATATATATATAGTTGAAGTCAGAATTATTAGCCCCCCTGAATTATTAGGTCACCTTTTCCTTTTTTTCCTGATTTCTGTTAAACGGAGAGAAGATTTTGTCACATTTATAATCATAATAGTTTTAATAACTCATCTCTAATAACTAATTTATTTAATCTTTGCCATGATGGCAGTAAATAATATTTGACTAGATATTCTTCAAGACACTTCTATACAGCTTAAAGTGACATTTAAAGGCTTCACTAGGTTAATTAGGGTAACTAGGCAGGTTAGGGTTATTGGGCAAGTTACTGTATAACGATGGTTTGTTCTGTAGACTATTAGGAAAAAATAGCTTAAAAAGGCTAATAATATTGATCTTAAGATGGTGATTAATAAATTAAAAACTGCTTTTATTCTAGCCGAAATAAAACAAACAAGACTTTCTCCAGAAGAAAAAATATTATCAAACATACTGTGAAAGTTTTCTTGCTCTGTTAAACATAATTTGGGAAATATTTAAAAAGAAAAAAACAACTCAAAGAGGGGCAAATAATTCTCTTCAACTGTATATAAATATATATTAGGGCTGTCAAATGATTAAAAAAAATTTACGTAATTAATCACACCTTTTTTGTAATTAATCATGATTAATCACAAAAGCTGTACTTATTACAGAAATAAAAAACAGGCACAGAGAGAGAGAGAGAGAGAGAGAGAGAGAGAGACAGACAATAGCCCCTTTCACACAGTGATACCGGTAAATATCTGGAAAATTTCCGGAACGACTTTACCGGTATATTGAAAAAAGCGCTGTTCACACAGGTGAGGACGTTACGGAAATTTTCCGGAAAAGAGCATTCACACATCCATTCCAAAATACCGGTAAATTCTGACATCATTCACCACAAATGAGCTTTAAACGGCTGCGCTTGTATTTGTAAACATTTAACTATATTACAAACTCTGTGGATGATCATTATTGTGAACAACTTTCGCAGGATCACTTTCGCATGTCGAGATGTTCATAATATGTGCGTGTGCTGGCGCTCACAGGCACACGCAAAGCTTGAAGGTAAACAAACAACGGCTTATCATAAGCATCTCATCGATGATTATTTACACAGTTGGCATTAAGAAGAACATATAAATGTGATCTGACTAACTTCTAGCAGCTAAATGTGTCTGGAAAAATATTCAAAGGCTTTTATCCTCACAAACCGCGCGGACGTAAATGCGTCTGACTGTTGTGATTGGCTAAAGCAGACGTCTCACGTCAGCACGTTCTAGACGTGCACGCGCTTATTACGGCAATCTTCCTTCTGCATTCACACAGCGCAGCATTCCGGCAAATTACCGGTAATGTTACAACTTCTCTTTCCGGAAAATAGCCAGAACGAATTTACCGGTATTTTCAAAAAGGACCTGTTCACACATACAACCTTTCCGGAAAATTGCCGGCAATTTTCCGGAAAGGTCTGTATGTGTGAAAGGGGCTAATGCGCGCAGTAGAGGGCACCCAATGAACGACTCCCTTCAGACTCATCATCACGCACAATTGCGTTCATCTAATTTGGTTAAACTAAGCGTTCTAAAGTCTGGCTGTATTTTACAAGCAAAGAGTCCAGCAACGTGAAGCAGACGCTTTACAAAAGTTACGTGTAAGTGAGGAAACGCGTCAAACTTATGGAATGTGAGGGCTCATGGAAGTAGCTTAAAAGCAGAGAATAGGGCTGTCTTCGACAGCTTGCGACTTTATCTGCCACTTTAACTATAATACATTCACATGGATACCAATACTCCGCTTTTATGATTAAGATAATACTGATCAAGAGTCAACCAAGTAAGCAGTGATTTTTTGATTACCTTTAAAGGACCATGCGAGTCCCGAAATGTGGAGGTTTTTCTTTCTGTTCGCCATGCAGTATCAAATTCCATTAAACATCCTGAATGAAAATATGCTGAATGAGAGTGAACTGCTGAACTGCACTTAAAGTCTAAATACTACAAATGAAACTTTCATTCTAAAAGCATGTCCTGGTCTTATCCAAATTTCTTTGCATGTTAAACACGCACAGGGCTGGAGAAAACTGAACTGGCGCTCTAAGTAAATGGCAATCATGACGCCCTCAACCCGAAAGTGACCGGTTCGTGGATGAAAGTATAGACAATGAGGGAGGGGTGGCTGTAGCGGATGAAAGTGAAGACTGGGGGGTTCGTTCACTATTCTGCTGCCAAAGGCAGCCACCTACATATATTCACACACACACACACACACACACACACACACACACACACACACACACACACACACACACACACACACACACACATCTATATGTATATTCATATTATTATTATTCTATATATATATTTTTTATAAAAAAAAATTAAAACAAGTGCTCATAGAAAAGAGTTTTCCGTTCCCCTTTAAAGGATACCAACAGTACATGTGGAAATGGGAAGATCGTTCCACGACACAAAGCAGTCAACCATTATAAGGGTTGCAGGGCCGTCATAAAACTCTTCAAGTTTATATAAGATGATGAATCCATTAATCAGTTGTTCTCAGCCTTTCTGGAAATCCGACAACTCACTTCCTTCTAGAGTTCTGAATTAAAATCGTTTGGAGACTCCAGACACTAATGAAAAAGACAGAAAGACAAGTGCATTGGGTTTTAGGTGTAATATCTTTTTTAAGAATTATCAGTTATATTAGCAGGGTTGGGGTTCATTAACTCAAACAATGTTACAGATTTTGTGGGCAATCTCATCAACCACCACCAGTGTGCAGCATCTACCTGGATGATGCAATGGCAGACATTTTTGTGCTGTACATTTTTAGTGCAGTATCTGTACTTTTACTCCACTATTTTCTTTCAACCTGCAGTCACTACTTTTTTTCTTGTCTATCGCCTCATAATGAACTCATGACATGGGCGTATTATAATTGCGTAAACTGTTTGGAAGCAATAAAAGTGTCCAAGAAGAAGAGTCCACAATCTTTACATGCAACGACCACAGGTTTAGATCACGGGTGTCAAACTCATTTTACGTACGTTTGACAACCCTGCTTTAAAAGCATGTCACTGATGAGAAAATGACGATGTTTACTGTATGATGACCGAAATGACGTTAAACTCCGAGCAGGCACAAGACATCAACATGACGTCAAATTGATGAAGAAATAAAAATCGGATTGACATCAGAACTCAACTTCAGTCTGACATAATGTCCAAAGAAAAATCAACCAAATATCAACGTCTAATGGTGTTACAGCTTGACGTTGTGTGGACGTTACCACTATGACGTCTATCAGATGTTGGATTTTGGTTGCCATACCTGATGAATAAATGTCAGTATCTGACGTCAATATGACTTTGGTTTAAGATGTTGGCTCAACGTTGAATTTTGGTCACTTTCCAACAACCTAAAATCAACCAAATATCAACGTCATTAGACGTTGCAATTATGTTGTTGTGTGCCTGCTGGGCAATAACTAAATGCATTACAGAATGTTGTTTACACACATGCACAAATAAACATTTGCATCAGCTTTTACAGCGTAATACTCACTACTCACTACTCTTGAGAACATTAAAAAGGTCTACTTTTTACTGACACTTTGAGTAATATTTACAACAGATACCTTTACTCTACTTGCACTACATTTTGAGGCAAGTAATGGTACTTTTACTTGAGTCAGATTTTTCAGTACTCTTTCCACCACTGCTGCCAGTATAGTGTTCCCTTCACTATACTGGGGCATTAGGACTCACACAGACTACAAGTTTAGCACCCCCTGCTGGCCTCACTAATACCACTTCCAACAGCAACCTAGTATTCCCATGTGATCTCCCATACAAGTATTCAGCCCTGCCTAAGCCTAGTTCACACTACATGACTTGATTTTGTCTTTAAATCACTGGAACACTGTATGTTGGAACTAAACTCTGCAGGGCTGCAGCCCTCCAAGAACTGAGTTTGACACTCCTGCAATAATGGGTCTACTGGGTGTACCTGGTTTTAGTTTAATGGTACTGTAATGATGTGAAAACAACATTCATCTTATTTCTGTTTTCTTATTTCTATTTGGGTGGAATGGCCTTAGAAATGAAAGCTAAGTTGGGTGTATCCTTTGAATAATGCTGTCATGATGCTGTCATCACATTAAATGAAATGTGCATTTAAGAAAAAATTCTTACTGTTGGGGGGCTCTTCTTTACTGTTACACCTTTTTCTTCCAAACAGTTCTTGCTCTCTTGTGTCCAGTTCTCTCTTTCTTGTGTCCAGTTCTCTCTCTCTAATGTCCAGGTTTCTCTCTCTTGTGTCCAGTTCTCTCTCTCTAATGTCCAGGTTTCTCTCTCTTGTGTCCAGTTCTCTCTCTCTAATGTCCAGGTTTCTCTTTCTTGTGTCCAGTTCTCTCTCTCTAATGTCCAGGTTTCTCTCTCTTGTGTCCAGTTCTCTCTCTCTGTCACGTATAAAAGAATGTTCAGGTGAATCCAAGTGCAAGTTAACAAAAATAATATTTATTGACACAGTCAAACAAAAAGCAAGGAATGAATGTAGTGCTAGTGCTAGGAGAGATCGGGCAGGAATCAGGCAGGAAACAGAGTCCAGAAAACACACAATAAAATCCTAAGATCCTAACCACAGACAGAATAACACACAATAAGCACACGTAACGAACTGACAAAGACACACAGAAAACGTGGCCCATATATAGGCCCGAATATGAGCCTCAGCTGGTGGGCTCATCAAGCCAGCTGAGTGCCGTCATCACACGTGATCAAAACAGATACACCTGGAGAACAAAAACAAACCAACATGATCAAACAGACACTCCGGAAGAGCGCACAAACCTGCAACCATGACATTACCCCTCTCTCAAGAGCACCTCCTGGTGCTCCCAGAAGCGCTTACCTGGCGATTGTAATCATCGATAAGAGAGTGATCCAATATGTCCAATATGCACCCAAGTTCTCTCCTCCGCACCGTAACCTTCCCAGTCCACCAAGTACTGAAATCCTCGCCCCCTCCGTCTCGAGTCCAGAATGCGCTTAACCGAATAAATGGTCTCCCCATCTACGAGACGGCGGGGGGTGGGGGACCGGAGTGGGCGGGTTAATCGCCGTATGAAAAACGGGCTTTAATTTAGAAACATGAAACACGGGATGTATTCTCCTGTACGCTGGAGGAAGTTTAAGGCGGACTGCCACCGGACTAATGATCTTGATGACAGTGAATGGGCCAATAAATTTAGGTGCAAGTTTATTACATACGGAACGCAAGGGAATATTCTTAGTTGAAAGCCACACTTTTTGACCGACGACGTAAACTGGAGGCTTCGACCGGTGGCGATCGGCTTTAGCCTTGGTGTGCGCACCCACTTGGAGGAGGGTCTGTCTGGCCCTGCTCCAAGTGCGTCGACACCTCTGGACAAAGGCGTGGGCGGAGGGGACCGCGACTTCAGATTCCAGACTGGGAAAAGCTGGTGGCTGGTAACCTAAGCTACACTGAAACGGAGAAAGGCCCGTAGCCGACACTGGTAATGTATTGTCTGCGTACTCCACCCATGGGAGCTGCTGACTCCAAGAGGAGGGATTCTGGGAAACCAAACAACGTAACATGCGCTCGAGATCTTGGTTGGCCCTTTCTGTTTGTCCATTACTCTGAGGATGAAAACCAGAAGAAAGACTTACAGTCGCTCCCAATAAATGACAAAATTCTCTCCAAAATTTAGAGACAAACTGAGGCCCCCTGTCAGAAACCACATCCGTCGGGAGGCCATGAATGCGAAAGACGTGATTAATGACATCATCCGCTGTCTCTCTGGCTGAGGGTAATTTGGGCAGAGGAATAAAATGAGTAGCCTTCGAGAACCGGTCCACAACGGTCAAAATAGCCATATTGCCACCAGATGGCGGGAGACCTGTGACAAAATCTAGCGAAATGTGCGACCAGGGTCTCGAAGGCACTGACAGCGGCTGAAGGAGTCCAGCAGGAGGGCGATTAGAAGTCTTAGAAACAGCACAAACAGAACAGGCCAAAACAAACTCGCGTATGTCCCGTGCCATAGCTGGCCACCAGAATTGCTGTTTAACTAAAAATAATGTACGACTCACCCCTGGATGACAAGCCACTTTGGAGGAATGTCCCCACCGAATGACGTCAGACCGAATCCCCTCCGGCACATCAATCGACTAGATGGGCATCCGACCGGGGGCGTTACCCCGTCCAGGGCTGTGCGAACCCTGCTCTCGATCTCCCATGTCACTGCAGAAATACAAATCCTCTGGGGAATGATGGGCTCAAGAGACGTATTGCGCTCGGGAGAATCAAAAAGACGAGATAACGCGTCGGGTTTGATGTTTTTGGAACCCAGCCGGTAAGAGATGGTAAAGTCGAAACGTCCGAAAAATAATGCCCACCGAGCCTGCCTGGAGCTGAGTCGTTTGGCGGACCTGATGTATTCGAGGTTCTTATAATCGGTCCAAACGATAAAGGCAACTCCCTATTACCAATGTCGTAGTTTCGTTCTGCAGGAGATAATCGGTGATAGAAAAACGCGCACGGATGAATTCTGTTATCCGAGGCGGCGCGCTGGAACAGGATAGCGCCCACCCCCACCTCTGACACGTCAACCTCCACCACAAACTGCCGGGAGGGATCAGGTGTCACTAAAATGGGAGCTGAAACAAAGCGGCTCTTCAGTTTGGAGAATGCAGCCTGTGCTGCACTCGACCACCTGAAGGGAGTTTTGGAGGAGATTAAGGACATCAGAGGGGCGGCGAGCTGGCTGAAATTGCGAATAAAACGCCGGTAAAAATTGGCGAAGCCCAGAAATCTCTCCAGGGCCTTACGAGACTCCGGAATTGGCCAATTTACCACAGCCTGAACCTTCTCTGGATCCATGCGCACCCCCTCGACTGACACAATGTGTCCTAGAAAGGGAACAGACTGTGCATGGAACACGCATTTCTCCGCCTTGACAAAAAGCCCATTCTCTAGCAGCCGCTGAAGCACTCGCCTGACGTGCTGCACATGTTCCTGGAGAGAACGAGAAAAAATCAGAATGTCATCCAGGTAGACATAAATAAACTGATCTATCATGTCTCGCAACACGTCATTTACGAGAGCTTGGAAAACCGCAGGAGCATTAGAAAGCCTGAACGGAAGAACACAATATTCAAAATGCCCCCTAGGGGTAAGGAACGCGGTTTTCCACTCATGGCCCTGCTTCATGCGAACCAAATGATATGCGTTACGGAGATCTAATTTCGTGAAAAACGAAGCCCCCTGCAGACGCTCGAACACTGAAGACATCAGCGGCAGAGGATACGTATTCTTCACCGTGATGCTGTTCAGCCCTCGATAGTCAATGCAGGGTCTAAGAGACCCATCCTTCTTTTTCACGGAAAAGAACCCCGCCCCCGCCGGAGAAGAAGAGGGCCGTATGATCTTGGCCACTAGAGAATCAGAAATATATTTCCCCATGGCCTCCCTCTCAGGAATAGAAAGAGAGTATAACTTGCCTTTGACAGGTCCATGCGCTCCTCCTGAAACACAGAACAAGAAACAGCAAAACGAGCAGACGAAAGACAAGACTGATGACAATTCTCACTCCACGAAAATATAATATTAAGACCCCAGTTAATATGAGGCTTATGGAGAATCAACCAAGGATGATCTAAAACCACCGGTGTGTTGGAACAGTCTGTTAAAAAAATTGAAATGTTTTCAACATGATTTCCAGACGTGATCAGTTTTATAAGTTTAGTAGAGTGAGTGATAGTGGGAAGGCAAAGTCCGCTGAGTGCGCGTACTGCAATGGGTTGTGCCAGAGCTATAACCGGAAGTTTAAAACTAAAAGCATAACTGGAGTCTATGAAATTTCCCTCTGCCCCTGAATCGACAAGGGCGTGGGTGTTCTGGCTTCCGGAACCCCATGTTATGGTGACAGGTAGTAATGTGGCCGCCGCAGAAGATTTGTCCAAACTGATTTTACCCATCAGTAACCTCTTACCTACTGATGGGTGTTGTCTTTTACGGGACAGGAAGCCACCCGATCCTGGAGCCGATCCGAAAGCCCATGTAGAAACATGTCCCATTGAGCCTCCGCGTTTCAGCTGCTTTCAGCAGCCAACGTGCGGAACTCGATAGAATAGTCCGCCACGCTCCGATTCCCCTGGCGGAGCTCAGCAAGGACTCGGGCGGCCTCTCTCCCAGAGACCTTTTTGAGTTCTTTGGAGAAAAGATCGAAGGTTGAACAACATGGTAGCTTTTTCTACCATGCTGTGGTACCCCATTGGGCTGCTCTTCCAGACAAGAGGGTGATTACGAACGCCACCTTGGACTGCTCAGACGAAAACAAGGATGGCTGCAGGGTGATGTACAGGGAGCATTTGGCCAGGAAGGACCGACACAAGTGAGGCTTTCCAGCAGAGCAGGTCGGAGGAGGAAGGCGAGGCTTAGCAGAGCGGCTAGCGTTAGCAATCACTGGCGCAGGCATCACCTCCGGGGCTGGTGAAGGATCCGCTTGAGCTGCTCCAGAAACCAGCTGTTGTACCTTAGTAGTCAGCAGTGAAACCTGACCAACCAGGGCCTGGATAGCCTGTGCTGTGGTGGCCAACGCTTCATCCTGGCAATCGATCCGGGCATGGCTGGTTGTGAGGAACTCAGAAATCTGTGATGCACTCGCTGGATCCATGGTGAAGGTCAGTTCGTTTTGTCACGTATAAAAGAATGTTCAGGTGAATCCAAGTGCAAGTTAACAAAAATAATATTTATTGACACAGTCAAACAAAAAGCAAGGAATGAATGTAGCGCTAGTGCTAGGAGAGATCGGGCAGGAATCAGGCAGGAAATAGGGTCCAGAAAACAGTCCTAAGATCCTAACCACAGACAGAATAACACACAATAAGCACACATAACGAACTGACAAAGACACACAGAAAACATGGCCCATATATAGGCCCGAATATGAGCCTCAGCTGGCGGGCTCATCAAGCCAGCTGAATGCCGTCATCACACGTGATCAAAACAGATACACCTGGAGAACAAAAACAAACCAACATGATTAAACAGACACTCCGGAAGAGCGCACAAACCTGCTACAAGGACACTTTCTTCTTTCCCGTTCTTCTACTTTCCTTTGCTCTTCTGTAGGTTCACTCTGAGAAAAGAAATAATTTTTTCAGATAAATTTTTGGAAGTGTTTTTATACTTTCTTCTGATAGATTATTTCACATTTACATTGATTCATTTTTTAAAAATCATGCTTTTACCCAATGTAAAAATTTCCTCTGTTTGTAGGTTTGAGAACATTTTTTTACTGATCCTGTGCCTGCCCTTACAAGCAGTATACTGTTCTTCAAGTTCATTTTTATGAAGTATACTTAGTCAAAGTAATGTAGAAGTTTATTTCAAGAATACTTCACGTAGTAACATCTATTTATTTGTAATATACTTGTAAGTATACTGAATACCCCTTGGGACTAAATTGGCGAACTTATGCTGTAGTAGAAAATAAAGTAAACTTTAAATGTACTTTAGGTGTAACATAGACCAATTTAAGTGCAATACAATGAGGATTTTCATTTGTACTGCAAGCGAACCCATAAGTGTACTAGTGACATGTACATAGTAGCAATTTTGTAATACTCAAGATAAATGACACACACACACACACACACACACACACACACACACACACACACACACACACACACACACACACACACACACACACACAGCAAATTGGACTACTTTTTTAAATAAAATAAAAAACTATCATAAGACTTGATTTACATAAATTCACACTTCAAATTAAAGGTACATTAAATATTTACAAATATTTCTTGTCTTTAAACTACACTAGCATGAAGCATCTGCCAAACAAATTGTCTAAAGCTGAATTAGATATATCATAATAAAACAACTGTTGTGTCATGTGAATTACTAACGAAGATCATTCTTATGACTATTGTACCATATAAATATATCAAACTGTATGAAGTTTAAAATAGATTAACCATTCCATGTGACTCACCTGCGATGCCCCCATATTTTTTTACCTGCAAAATAAAAAACAGTGACAGCTCAATGTTTTTGGATGGCATTTTAATTGTCAATTTACTTTAAAAATTAATGATAATAAAATACCAAACAAACCAGATACAAACAAAACAGTGCATTTAAATAATTACAGTTATTTTTTTTTTCTGAATAGAGTATATGCACATAAACTTTTAATTTTCAGTAAGCAAGTTTAAGGGGGCAGCACGGTGACTCAATGGTTAGCACTGTGGCCTCACAGCAAGAAGGTCGCTGGTTTGAGTCCTGGCTGGGCCAGTTGTTATTTCTGTGTGGAGTTTGCATGTTCTCCCCGTGTTGGTGTGGGTTTCCTCTGGGTGCTCCAGTTTCCCCCACAGTCCAAACACATTTGCTAGGTGAATTGGATAAGTAAATTGCTTGTTGTGTATGTGTGTATGTCCTGGTCCTCCAGGTTGGGGGTTGAGTGTTGGGCTATTGACCCACCTAATAAAAATGAGATGTTAGCAACACCAACATGGTGCAGCTAAATATCAATTTTGATGAAAACTGCCCTGGGAGTAAGTAAGCCAGCTCAAACACTTCTGTTAAACTGTCATCCTATTATAAAATAGCTGTGTTTAAGATCTAATTTTATTAAAAATCAGAGATCTTCACTGCCTGATTGATATACGATATAAAGTGGGTATCAGATCAGACAAAACACACTGCATTAAATTGCATTGTTTTGCACCATGTCTATAAAATATGCTAATTTATTTTACCACTGTACTATTAGTATTTAAGATGGATTTATTGGATTTTTATGACAGTTAACAAACAAAAGTAAAAAAGACAATAAGAGTTAAAATAGAAACAATTATATAACAGTACAAAATTGATTAAAAGTATAAAAATAAACCACACTTCACCCTCATATTGTGCGATACACAGTATATGATGTGCATAAACAATACATGATATGCATTCATTTTTCAAATTAAGCATATAAACAGGTCGGTACCAGAAGTTGAGGTTGACAGCATGGTGTATTAAGTAAAATAAACAAAGATTTAAAAAAAAAGAAAAGAAATAAAAAAAATAAAAGCGAGAGAAAAGGGAAAATATATTAAACTAATAGGCTGGGGGGTGGCACGTTCTTTAAACTTGTGGTTTTGGTCTAGAAAGAGTTGCATGCAGCACTAATACTTATCTGAGAGGCACAGATCAAAACAAAAATGCAAGATTGGCAACCATTCACTCCACAGTAATTGCCTCAAGTCTCAGAGATGTGACATGCTTGAAGAATGGCAACCAAATATTAGAAAATTTGACCACTGAACCTCGAATATTATGTTTAATTTTTTCTAAGGCATCTTTAAGCCACTGAGTATGGGATGGGGCTTGAGAAGACTTGCACTGCAACAAAATGCAGTGCCTAGCTAATAATGACAGAAAAGCTATTAATTCAAAAAATAAAATGGTAACTCACAGTCTGAGGGAAGAATTCCAAACAGGCCAATTACGGAGAACGATCAATATAAATAGGCGTATTTGCTGAAAATTAATCTAAAGCAGACTCCCAAAAAGGAAACAAGAGGGTGGTATAGCAGGGAAACCTGGAAAGCATTTACGGACAAAATCCCGTATTTGAAAATATCTGAAAAGTTGTGACTTTTTTGTGTCTTTGATAGAAACAATTTCACATTTCACCCATATAACAAAAGCCCTATCATTAAGTGAGGGAGGAAAAAGAGGGTTAGAGTGGACAGGGCATAGAAGAGGTGTGATCTGTAAATTGAAGTGACGTCTGAGCTGAACCCAGATCTTAAGACAATTTTTAACCATAATATTTTTAGACTACTGTAATGGTGAGAACGACATGGGTAGGCACAAAAGAGAAGTGAGTGAGGGAGTGCCACAAGAAGCCTCCTCAATCCTACACCAAGCAGGAGGTTCAGCATTAGAAAGGCACCAGAATAGCATGTTTCGGATATTTGCAGACCAGTAATAAAACTGAAAATCTGGTAATGCTAATCTATTATTGGTGGAGGGGGGGGGGTGGGGGGGGGGGTGGGTGGGTGGGGTTGGTTGTTGTTGCGCGCGTTCTGAAGAGCGGTGTTGTCGCGCGCCTACTGAAGGGCGGGACCGAGGGTGTGCCGCGTCGCGGGGGCACTTTTGATCATTTTGGAAGGGCACTTTCTATCCAAGACTAAAAAGGGCATGTGCAATGCACAGGTTGAGCCCTATGTGTGCACGTGCCTGAAAGGAATCATATTACGCATTAACATTTCAGCACAAGTTAATCTGTGGCTAAAAAACACTCGCTGTGCATATACCCCATTCTTGAAATTATCACTCATTTTGTCAAACCTTTAAAGATAAATACAAATCTTCAAACCAACAGTAGCCTATATGGTTTAAATGAAAAAAAGTCAATTCTGTATTGCAATAACATTCAGCATCGAACCTCTATAACGGCAGTCTGTAACATTACAGTAACATACACTTTAAAGATCAAAGTAATCATAAATAAGAAACATATCATTGTCCACTCATGCAACTGTAAATTCAGTCAACCAGAAACTGATTCTGCCACAAGATTTTATACAGTGAGTATGAAAAGTATTCAGACCCTCTGAATTTTTTTTACTCTTTGTTATATTGCAGCCATTTGCTAAAATCATGTTTTTCCCCCTTAATGTAGACAACAGCACCCCATACTAACAGAAAAACACTAAGCAAAACGCTAAGTTTTGTATACCTGTTAAAATAACCTATTTGCTGCTTTTACAGTCTTTGTGATATTACATCAGGATAAAAGCTTCAACAGTTATTGTCGTTATAGTACAAAATACACATATTACGATTTTTTTACTCAGAAAATGGTTTAATAAAAAACTTCACATAATAAAATGCTTACCTTTACTTAGGAGTAAGACTAAACAGAAGAAAATAATATCAAAGAAAAAGTTAGTGTTCTGTATTACAAATCCTCATGAAAATAGTGTGATTTTGGCTCATTTTACTTACTGTGTGAATCCGAATCCTCACTTTGCGCTAAAAAACAACACACATGTAATCACATGCTGTACAGTAAACATGGTTACAAATATTGTCAAAAAGAGTGCATGTTTGATCTGAGCTGAAAGTATTTCATAGTAACTCATTTACAGGAAAGCTGTTTTTAAAATACAATCATTAACCTTCACTGTTTAGCCATTAGAAATAATGCATAACGTCTGATCATTTAGACAGTGTTACTTTGGACTCAGAGCCATCTTGTTTCTCTCCGACTCTCAGCTCATCATTAGCTTAAAATTTAAAACACACAAAATAATAAAATATACTCCAGAAAAAGAAACCCAAATCTGATTTGTGATTAATTTAGACAGAAATCCTGCATCTTACGTAACTGTGTGCAGATGTAGAGCTGTCAACCGAAAATACAATGACTGAAAATCAACACAACAAGAAGTGAAAGCACAGAATGACACAAACTTCTCAGAGCTCTGTATCATATGCAGAAAGTTTATATTACAGAGCTGATATTTAATGTTTGGGACAGTTGGCTTGAGTCACTTTTGAACAGCTGATGAAATAATACAAAGATTCAATCAAAATGTGCAGATCAGGAACACATTAAAAACACACACACACGCATGCACGCACGCACACGCACGCACACGCACACACACGCACACGCACACGCACACGCACACGCACACGCACACACACACACAAACAGCAGGTCTTATTTTAGTAAACATTGTCAAAAATGTCTTTCACAACATGTGTACAAATGTACATTCACAAAATACACAACAGTATAATAACATCAATAGTAATAATGACAGTAATAATAAATGTTTTTTAATCTAAAACAAAATCTCTTCAGATCAGTGTTAAGCTTTAGGGTCAGTTTTTTTTTTGGAATAAAAACTGAGCATATTAGAGAGAGTAACACTTAAAATAATAGTTAAATCAAATAATAATTTAAAACTGTCCTTAATGTTTGGCCTAAAGAAAATCAAATATGTAACCACTGATTTGATATCATTGTATTGACTATGATGCAAGTATTGCACTGTAAGTCTAAATTGTACTATATGTTTTATTTTTTTAATATTGGTAAACTTGTTACAACTTCCTGCCCAGAAACTACATGTCTATTGTACATTGTCCTTGTCCTTGTATAAATAAAATAAATAAATAAAAGAAAAATTCTAATAAAAGAAAAATTCTTTCTATTTATTAAATTACCATTTAATTTGTGTTTTTTTATTATATATATATATATATATGCTATATTGATGAGAGCATGCCTGAGAAGCCACAGCTGTATCCCTTCTACAATTTACCTTTGGAGCTTTTAAGATGGGATACGAGATATGTTTTCTCGTTTGTCAAAAATGTCAGACCAATCAGAAGCATCATGTCACCGACTCGGTCCCAGTCATTCCCCACACTGGCCAGCGGAGGTCATCATCACCGGACTTCTAACATTACGTCATACCCAAAGACTGATTGCCACTCAAACATGCAGCACATCTCCTGATTACCACGCACTCACATTTAAGCAGCACACACACTCACCTCAGTGCAAAGTCTTGTTCTGCCCCTGCAAACACTACTGAGCGTTCTATTCCTTGCCTGCTTTCCCTGTTGCCAACCCGGACTGATTATTGACCTTGTCTTGCCTGTCTCGTACCCAGCCTCATTTGTATCTGTATTTGTATTTGTTGAGGGGGGAAAAGTATTTGTATTTGTATTCGAGTAAAAATTTATATTTTTTCTATTACACTTTTAATTTACGTTATAGTGAAAGTATTGTTTAATTATACCCATTATATAAATTATAGACATGCAACTATGGTTGTTGTTTTTGAACATGTGACAAGAAATGTCATTGAAAAGAAAATAACATAGAAGCCATTATCTCATCCATGGTTAAACCAACAACTAATAAAATACAATTGTGAATATTATGAACCCCACCACCACCGTTCTTGTTGAAGGACACTGAATAGACAGAATAAAAACAAAAAATACTTCAAAAAACTGTTCTTCTTCTGAAAGAACTTCTTTCCAATGGACAGAATTCCAAAAACTATAATATTAACTAAATAAATCTAAATAAAACCCTGCCTGGGGGATCTGGCAGAACAAAACTATTCTATATAATACTAAAAGATACAGCCCTGCTATTGTCATTTGCCTGCCACAAAAAAGACACAAAGTTTGTTTGTTTTTTGTTTGTTTTTATGTTTGAAACTGACTTGCTGGGGCAGAATGTGGCTGTGTTGATGGTTTGGTGCTTGTGGAGGATTTAGCAGAACATAGCTGTGCTGATTGAGGGGATTGATGCTTGTGGGGGGTTCACAGACAGTATCAGGAGAGGATGCTTTTAGTGCATGTGATAATTGTATGTGTGTGAAAGAGAGTGTATGGATGTTTCCCAGTGCTGGGTAGCAGCTGGAAGGGCAGCCACTGCGTAAAACATATGCTGGATAAATTGGTGGTTCATTCCACTGTGGCAACCCCAGATTGATAAAGGGACTTAGCCGAAAAGAAATGAATGATTATGGATAGAAGATGTTGACAGATGTTTAATATCTCTGCCTCTGCTGATTTCACTTTTGCACACATTATACAGTATCACTTTGATTTATCTGCAGCACCACTGACTGTAAAATTCTTCCACAAAGAACATGAAGGTTTTTTTTTTGACTGGTGGAGGACCAACAAATGGCTCAGAAGCAGTCTCACTCTTTTTCATGGTGCCCAAATGTATTTGAGGAGTTTCAAGTTAATAAAAAGTGACGGGAAGCTATGCTAAGGTTAACTTAGCCTATAGCATATATCTTGCTGTCTGCAAAAGACAGTAATTTAGACGTACCATATAACTCCCATAAGTGCATACTATTCGACACAACTGCACAAGCATCATTTTAACCTTTATAAACGAACGTTAAGGTTACTCTATCAACAGTCTATTGTCTAAATTACTGCGCTAACCGAGCTAAAGTTGCGTAAACAGAGCACCCAATTACAGACGTCAATAATGCAGCATAATGGAATATCCCGATCAAACTCCGCTACAAGTTTATAAACTGCATCTGGAACCCAATTAAGGTACAAAAATCTATTTAACAAAAATAGTGATGCAGAGAAGTATTTTTTTCGCTCAGCCGAGCCTTCTCTGTCTGTATCTGTGGAGAAGCTTGTGCCAGACACCTTTTACCTCCGCCCCGCCCTCCGACTACTGACTGAGCGTGTCTCTCCCTCTCTCTCTCACTCACTCACGCGGGCATGCACTGTGGTGTCATGGGGAAATGCTGCTTTTTGATATAATGTTTTTCTTGCTCCTGAATACAAATAATTTTTCAAGTATTTGTTCGAAATAAGTATTCGTAAAAACACGCTATTCGTGCCTTTCCGAATACCGTATTCGGGTTCGGCTCCACCCTTTATATATATATATATATATATATATATATATATATATATATATATATATATATATATATATATACTTTTTATTTTTAAAAAATGTTATCAAGTGCTCATAGACTGTAAAGATTTCTGGGATAAAGCGTCAATAACACTGAATGGGAAAGTCAGAGTTTTCTCTATTTCCATCCAGCTTATAACCTCTACATTATTACCTGACCAGTGCTTACATTTTTTAATCATCTCAAATGCAGTATTATAAAGCTCTATATTTTACAATGCCAAACCCTCTATTATTCTAGTGGTAAACATATTTTTCATATTTATTCTGGGCTTCTTCCTCTCCCACAAAAAGTCCCTAACTAGCTGATTGTATTGCTTAAAAACGGATAAAGGAAACTCCAAAGGGATCATCATAGAAATATAATTAATCCTTGATGATACCAACATTTTAATTTGCATTAACCTTCCCCCACAAAGAAAAATGTAACACTTTTCATTTATCAAAGTTTGTTTCCAACATTTTGAAGCACAGTAACAAGTATTCTTTTAGTGTGGCAGGATGTTAAGAAATATTTATACATCCCAAATAAGTAGTGTTCTAAGTTACCTACTATGCCTAATCCTGATTTTCCCACTACAATACAGAAAATTGGCTTTTTGACTTGGAGATCAAGCGGAGTGCCAAATAAAATCATTTGAGTAGTTAACAGGAATTTAGTCTACCCAGTAAAGACTTTTATAAATTCAACACTTTTTAGAGTTACAGTTAAAAGAAGGTAACAAACAATTTGATTTTAATGAAATAGAAAAACAGCTTTTTTCTTTGTGTACATTTAAAAAAGATCTCTGAATTGTATCTGTTGCTGCCTAATACTGGCCCTTCAACTTTTGGTTCTTTAAGGGCAACATGGGGAAAGGATTTGAGGTCTAGTTTTAGTGATGAGGAGTGGCTATCTGCCTGCTCTATAATATTCATTCATTTTCTTGTTGGCTTAGCCTTTATTTATGGGGTCGCCACAGCGGACCCCCAAAAGGTAGGTGTCTTTAACTTTCTTGTATTCTGAGAATGTTAAGAACAATGCATTAGAGAAAGCACATTTATCAGAGCTAATGGATTTCTTCATTTCTTTACAGCGCTCTGCAGCGGCTCTACTCAGAGCTCCTCCTGGATGACAGAGCTGAGTCCTGACCCTATCTAAAAGGGTGCGCCCTGCCACCCTGCAAAGGAAACTCATTCAGCCGCTTGTATCTGAGAACTTGTCTTTTCACTTGTAACCCAAAGCTCATAACCATAGGTGAAAGTAGGCATGTAGATTGACCAGTAAATCGAGAGTGTAGGAGTCCATCTATTAGCCCAATGATGAAACTACCAGCATGGTCGAAGGTTTAATGGATGTAAGCCTTTTCTAGTGCTTCTGAAAATAATTTTATTTATTAGAATTTATTTATATTAGTTTTTTAGCTCCGAATTCAATCTGACTCCAATTTCATTGATCCTAAAATTTAGATTGTATTTCTAATTGTAAGAACGGATCACATTCATTATTTATGATTTAATTTAGAGTTTTGATATTTTCTGAGGTCCGATATTCTAATTGTACGTTCATTAGGGACCAACATCGCTCAGAGTTCCACGCCCCGGGTTTGCGCATCTTCTCACGGACAATATGTTGACACTCTGAAAATAGTCAGAGGATGCAGGATTAACTATATTTGAATAAGCTGGTCGCATTAACGCTTAC